ATAAATTTAATATAAATGCAACTTCAAACGTTGACACTCATTTAAATTTAGAATGTAAATTCTAAATTCGATGACAGATTAAAACTGATTGACGTAAAAAAAAGAAACAGCCAGTATCAAATTATAAGTCTAGAACCATAGACTTAGAATTCGACACTTTCAAACTATGCAGTTTATTGGGAATAGTAACTAGATTAAATATAGTGCAGTAATAAATAAAAACGCATATTTTGTTGGATGCATGGTAAGGGTGCATCATCGCACCCCTCACGCATTACGCACACAAATGCATCGTAACTAGAGCGCGATTGGTCTATATTTATGCGTGTATGTACAATTTCTAGGCAGTTGAATTAGTTGCGTGCGGGGTCTTTGCTAGGAAAAAGTATTGATTTGTTGTAGAGCTTTCGCGGAATGATTTCCTTGTCGGCTATGTTGCATCTTAAAATATCGACGTCAACATTTAACAAATCTTAATATTTTAAAACGGACTCGAGTTTTATATCGCTGATAGAATATGGCGTTAAGATGATAAGCATTTTAAAAATGGAATAAAGCAATGTTTTTTTAATTTAATAAAAGGTAAAATGCGGGTTTATGATCCGCTGAAAACCGGTTAAAACCGCTCAACTGACGATTTTTTTGTCCTCGCAGCTTTAATTCTTCTATGAGTTTTATTATCACACTACAAAAGCGCCTTTATGCGACATGTTTATACAGCCGCCATCTTGAACAACGTGCTTTTCACATGTCAACGGTATTTAGAAATTATATTTAATATTCTAAACATTTTTAATGCAGCAGTGTTGGCCTAGTAGCTCTCATCCTTGAGGTTATAGGTTCAACCCCAGCCGTGCACCAAATGTTTTTTATTCTATGTGCGCATTTAACAGTCGCTCGAACGGTGAAGAAAAACATCGTGAGGAAACCGGCTTGCTTTAGACTTAAAATACGGCGTATGTACAGAAGCCTTACCCAGATTTAAAAAAAAAAGTTCTTACGCCACTGATTGATGTTAACGTTTTTGATGTACTAGCAAACAATACTTAAAACAAACATTCTAAGAAAGGTTGTTACAGTTGAGGCGAGAAAAACAAGAATAACAAAACAAAACCTTAAAAGTTCCTTCCAGTCCTAACAAAGCCTAAGGTCATTAAACTTTCAGACATTTGGGCTTCGCAAGCAAAAACGTCATCACTGCCCGTAAATTACGATTATCCGTTACGTCAGCTGATATACCCAACATCTGCATTTGCTTGGCGCGTGCCGTAAAAAAAACCGTTATAATAGCCCTACGTGGGTGGACACGTGGCGCCCTCGGGAATTTGCCGATTTTTTGCAAAACAAATCACCCTAAGACTAACATAATCTTAAGATGGGTCTGTAGATGTGTGTGGGCATACATTTTGTGAGCTATCGTTTTTATATATACCAGTGGCGCTACAATCTTTTAAGCTCTGGACCTCAGAATTCTGTATCTGTTTCATGATCATTTGTTAATCTAATAGGCAAGTAGGTGATCCTGACACACGCCGTCGTCTTTTTGGGTCTAAGGCAAGCCGGTTTTCTCACGATATTTTTCTTCACCATTCGAGCGAATGTTAGATGCGCACATAGACAGAAAGTCCATTGGTGCACGCTGAAGCCACTAGGCCAAAATTTAATTTCGTTCTTTAGGACGCAGTTTTCTTATTAAATGTCTAAGTATACAAAAAAATATAATAAATGAAAGTCTCATATTAAAGATACATTGCCTAAAAGTATAGTCATGAACAAACACTATAATTTATGGTTAAATAAGATAAACAACATTAAGATAAAAACGGCAATATCTGTTCATTACTGTTACGAAGTAGACACATATATCAAATTTCTTAATCTAGCTTTTATAAGGAATACAAATCATCGTGTTATTGTCTTAATGTTTCATAAATGAGTTAATAGGATAAGCAATTCAACATAGAATAAATCGTATTTAATTTGAAACCGTCGCGACAATCGCCATTTTGTGTATTCGTAAAAAGCGATTAAAATCAGCAGTAAAAAGATTTTTTCATTTACTTGTTTCGTAAATTTTTGTTATTAATTTTGCTAAGAGCATTTTTGAGTTTCGCTTTCTTTTAATTTGTCGTGTAGCTTATACTTGTTGTTTTGACATTTAGTTATTTTATTTTTATTATTAATTACGCTTTCAATGTACGTTTTATTGCGTGAATTTGGTGCGTGTATGAAGTTTTGGTGGTTATATTGAAACATATCTCTGTGTTAAGGGACGCCTTATCACGACAGACAATTGTGTGCCTTTTTTGACTATTTAAGTTAAATTAAATCAAGAATAAATCAATGTACATATAGTGTATATACTCAGTGTCTAATATTTATTGATAAAACATTCAACAACGCCATCAAACGTTCTTTGTGTATTGTATCTTGTAAAAATATTTAGTAGTTTTTATATGAAAGTCTTGATTTTAAGCCTTTTATAGATATTAAGCTTGTATATTGAAATATTTATTAATTTGAAAAGTTATTCGATTCGATTCTATATAGTTAGAGGATTCGTGTATACACAAGAAACCTCATGATTAAAACTAAAAATCGTTTGGAAAAAGATCTTAAAATCCAAAATCCATTTCTATATAAAATCATCTACATATAAACATCTGCTGATAAAAAAACACCTTTCCGACAATGAACACAATCAGATACACTAGAGGTGTTGCGCAGCTGGTAAGCACATTGCGTCGACTCGTGCGCACGAGAGTAAAAAATCTACTTCCGACCCCGAAAACTGATTGAAAAATTACAGCTTTAGTTAATTTATATCGTAGCAGTTTCGTAGCAGCTACAATTATCATCGTCATTTAAAAATAAATTTTACTAGGAATTGTAATATTAATATTAATATTAAAAGGACGGCAACGCACTTGCGAGCCTTTTGGCAATGTGAGTGTCCATGGGCATATCACTTAATATCAGCCTCCTGACGTTGTCATGTTTGCCTCCTGTTACATTTAAAGAAATACCTATTTGTAATATGAGCTAATCCTAGTTTTCCCATTTCTATATCAAAATACGTCCTGTACTCTACAGCAGAAACTGTCAAAAGTTTAAGGATAAATTAAACTAGTAAATTAACTAAAGAAACTAGATAATAAATAAATATCGCAAAACTAAAAATTTACTTCAATCGTTTTTTCTTCTCTATTTCCTAATTCTCGAATTTTTATCGGTTTTTAAGTTACTTTATAACTTAGCGGCGGTTGTTTAAAACTAATTTGCTAAGTTACTTTCCAGCCCTTAACTTATAATCGTAAATTAAGTCAAGTAGACCTCACACTTCGTCTTCCAAACTTTCTTACAATTTCGCTTATAAATATTTTAATTGGAAATTCGTAAAAAGTTATAGCCTAATTTATTTAAATTATACATGTAAATCAAATGGTTTGTCCGTGTGTATATTATTCACATATTGAATCTATAGCAATTAAAAAAGTTGTTACATAAATATGTTAATTAACGTACCTAATGATATCGAATGATATTTGAATTTTTAAAATTTTAATATTTTTATTTCTGTAATATTAATTTTTTTCTTATGTATGTGACATATTTTATTGTTTCTAATGAGAATAAACTTCTTTAAACCCGGCACATGTTCACGCAATTTAGTAATCATAATGCGTGAAAAATAAACAACATACCAGATATTTAAAAGAATAATGCAGAATAAAATATCAATTACCGTTTGTTGTTTCAAAATCTGTAATAATGTAAAAAGCAAATTGTAACGTTTACACGCATACCTTCTGAAGCCCTGATGTTTTGTTTAAGAAATATTCTATATACAACAAAGTGTATATAAAATATACCTACAATTGTATGAACTTCCAAGAAAAAAGTTACATTTAAAAATCCCCTATATTTTTACGCGCTATTTACTTCACAGTATTTTATGGCATTTTCATGTTAATGAGTCTCCGTTTTGAATTCACGATATTGTGATTGTGAATTTGTGCAAATTATATTTCTTTTAGATTTAGTATTTGGCTGAAAAGGCAATTTATAAAAACTGTACAATATAGAAAAACTATACAAATTTTCTTTAGTTTTACATTACATTGTAAAACTGTAATATAAACAAACTATAATTGTCATATCAGAAAAGCAAACATTGCTGTAAGTTCATCTCAAACTTGAAAGATCAAGCACGGGTTCGTCAGTATCAAAACCTTTACCATTTTAGTCCGGTACTTAAATTGACATGAATTATTTCAAAAGTTCCCTTTATCAGGATGTACTGTCATACAAGTTTTCCTTTTCACGCGAAGTTTGAACGCGATTCTCTTTATTTTCATTTAGACGGTGACACATGACTTCCGCGGCCATTTTACAATGCCCGCTAACGACAAGATGGCGGTAATCTATGCAGACGAATAAATTAATGCAAATAGCGCGTCGTAAATAAGTTATACAAACGTTTGCGTCATTCAAAAATCGATTTAGAGGTTTTAAGCTATTTTTCAATATGAACGTAAAATGTTTTCAACGTGATATGTATTTCAGTCAATGAATCAACGATTCAAGGATTTTATTTAAATATCAAGTTCGAACACGCGATAGTGAAAACACGTTGCGTAGTCATTCATCAATGTTTCAATCGAATTATTACGTTATTTATAATCGGATGCTTACATTGAGTGAATTATAATAAGAAAGGAATTAAATTATAATAACTGATAAAACAATTAAAAACGACAAATACTGTTTATAAGTTTCTTAAAGCATTAGTTTTGAATGGTCATTTGATGATTTTATAATTGCCAGCACGTGCTTGTTGCAAAGGACCCAATGTTTCGTAGCTACATAGCAACACTTGTATACATTTAAAAAAAGATCTAAATTGTCGACCTTTTTAGAACTTAATTTTTACGTAATAACTTACCTTCTTCTCTGTTAACTTCTCGCATCTTCTCTGCTTGCAGATTTGATGAGACTTGTCATTCCGACAGGGTGCGCAGTCGCCACAGTTGTCTTTTCTTTGGCAGCCTATACATTCGCCGCATCGTTTTCCTCTTCTTCTTTGTCTGTGACGGGAAGCACTAAAATTGAGTTAATTTGTATTTAATTCCTTAAAACGTCTTTAATGGAATTTTTGTACACTCAAAAACGACAACTAATCTTTTTGTTAAATTCACGGTATGTATGAGGATTATATAAACGATTAATATTCTATTATTTTAATAAATATTGGTGCTTTTATTGTAATATATAATACAACAAGTTTAAGTGCTCACCTTAAATTAAAATTGGGAAATGATTTCACTTATTTGTTTTTTTTATAACCGATTTAAAAGAAAATATATTTTAAGAAATTAAAAGGCATTTTTGTTAACTTAATTATTATTTGTTATACATAATTATAAATATGCTACGTTTCTTACAATATTACACATTGACTGAAGGAAGATTTCTATAAATTTATGGTTATAAAATTGCGATTGTTTTACGTTTGGAACCGGCAAAGTTTTTTCTTCTTAAAGCTCATCTATTTGCAATTGATTTCTTAAAAGTTTTCATAACTTCTATCCATTTATTGGTTATCTTTACCACATTATTCAAAACCCTCGATCAATTGCTTTTTTAAAGCAAATACGTAATTTCCGCAACAATTACTAAATATTTAACATAGCCCGAAACATAAATACGCCAGCTGGGATGCGATACGGACATAATAATGCAATTTTATTTATGTCTGCCACAGTTCCTTATCAAGATCAAGCGATTGTTCGAACAGCTGACGTTTTTAGCAGTAGAACTTGCATATAGGTTCAGTTATAATGATTATGATTTCTTGCAATAAATATTATATACATATTTACTTTACCTCTTTAGAATATATATACTTCGTAATTGACGGCCAAATGTATTTAAACTGCCATAATATTTCAATAAATTCATTCCAGTAGTGATTTTATCTTTGTTCATAAGATTCACCTTAAACACGGGTTCAAGTTAAAAAGCTGTGTTAGGCTATATTTTTTGTTTCTAATGGCAACGGCCGGTTCGGCAGATGTTCGATTAGATTGTCTCGATTAATCGATACTGCGTTTCTATGCATTAGAACAGATGTTTTTCATAATTAGATGAAGTCCATATTAATTTACAACGACCTAATTTATTTAAATATTATTGGTGAGACGACCTTTCTTATTATCTAACGAGGCTAAGTGTGTAATGTCTTAAAATCTGAGTTCGATTAAAAGACCAAAAAGCTCACCAACAAATGTACTATGTGTAAAATTAATTTAACATTACCATTTTATAATTTAGTTGTCATAAGAGACATCTAGATTTCAAGAAAAAAGCTCATGAGCTTATTATAATATATATCTCGTTATTTGATACAAAGTGTTTCTTGTATATGCGGTCCTATGAGCCTCCATTAGTTAATGTATGCAAAGTGACACGAGAGTGAAAAGGACAAAACATTAAATTATTATGGTATTTAGTGTTTGCGATATATCGGTGTTAAGATAGTTCTAAATAACTGTAATGTAATATATAATTTTAATTAGGATATTATAAGATATTCTGAATTCAAGGAAAAGCCCTTACAATTGATAAAAGAAGTAAATTAGGGGGTTTCACGAACGAAAAAGTCAAATTCTATTAGCATTAAAATGGTATCGGATTTTTATTTTCTTTGTTAAGAGACTAATAAATAAGATTTTCACAAGCAATTTTAATCTTTCGTAACTTAAGATTAGGTAATAAATCAGTAAAAATAATTTCGTTGTCTTCCGGTATTCTTGTACTCTTTGTTTCTAGGAAACTTTGCGAATGGATTTTCCCTGTTTGACTCATTCGTATAATGAGTCTAGAAAATTATTTACACGAAAATGTTCTTTATGCCTTTCGAAATACGCTTTATATCTCGTTAATCGTAGAAAGTAGAAAATTGTATTGATTACATTTTGTTTGAGCATTATATCGCTAATAATTTATTGAAATAAGTTTAGTCTTTTGTTTTTTATTTGTGAATTGTTATAAGTACTTAAATAATAAGTTTATATTTTTTGCTATATAACGAGTGTAATAGTGTAATTACCTATGCATATTATCTAACATCTGTTATTTAATTTAGATAAAAACTAAACTATACAAAGTGTATACAGGAAAATGATCTAAACTGCATAAAGGTTCTATGTAATGACTAATAATAAATAATTAGAGTTATTTTGAGCAGCTGCGTTTGTATAAAGGTGTTCATTATTAGACTAGGAAACGTTGACATTTTATTGACTAAAGAATGTTACTTAAGTCTGGATCTTTTCTAGCTGTAAGATGGTTTTTATCCCGTTTGAATTCCTCGCTCACTCACAGAAATTCTTAAAAATCTCGCATAAATTGCAAACTAATTCTCTTGAAATATGAATTGCCAAAAGCAAAGTTTTCACAAGAAAATAAATTTAATAGTGCCGAAGGCTTCTTTCTAATTGCATTCAATATTAAACTCATAAAATTTTCTTAGCAGGACGCGTAAATTGTCAGACTTTAATTTGTGTTTAAAGGAGAGAGGAAGTTAATTTATTGGAGGCAAGCGGATCGGCTAACTATTAAATTTATAGCCGCGAAGACAGAGAGTTCGGCCATTCCGAAACTCAACTGAAAATAAAAAGTGCTCTACGAATAATAAAAGGTGAAATTACTGGCAAAGTTTCTCTTTTGGTATCTACTTTCAATGGTACCGTGTTGTCGGGTAAAATTCAGAGAATTCTCATATATTTTGTCAGATATTCAGCTTTTCGCAATTCCCCCGTGTCTTGTTTACGCAATTCGGCAGTTCTTGGAGAAGATTAGTTGTCGTTTTTGATTTTATTGTCTATCTTTGAAGCTCCACATTGTGCATAGTTTATTTGGATGAGTCACAGTTTACTTTGTGTTACTAATTGTATGCGTACGAGATCAAAGGCTACCATCCTAATATACGATCTGGCAAATCGACTAAGAAGTAGTAGTAAGTATTAGTCGATTAAATGATATCGTATGTTTAAATCTTAAATGTAAAGTCAATTAGCAAATAATAAGAAAGTTATACTTGGTAATTTAACTTTGAATTGATTAATTTAGGAAACTTACCTGTTTTTCACTTGAAATATCATCAAGATCCATTGGTCCAGATGTCATGGGTGGAGCCCCGTGCATTGGCGACTTAAAGCCAGCTGTGGAGGACACCGCGGCCACCTGTCCACTGCTCTCAGCCATTTCCATGTTAGACCCATCTGATTCTGAGCTATTCGCTCGCATTTTCCGCCTCTCCTTCTTTCGGAAGTCAGACCGGGTTGGTGACGATGCACTTATGAAACCATTATTCTTCTTCTCATATCCATTGTCTATTAACATTGGATTTTGGAAATTACTATGGTGTAACCCATTCGGCGTGTATTTATCTTGAAGTGCCTTGACATCAAATGGTTCATTTTTTAATACATGCACAACTGTGGGACTCTGAATGTTGTGTATGATGCTTCCATTTTGTTGAAGAAGAGCCCCATTTTGGTGCAAGATACCATTCTGTGTTGGAAATGCGTTTATTGTCGCAATATTTGGTTGGTATAACTGTATATGACGATCATCGATGTACGTTTGAGCAGGTGCTAGTTCTCTGGCTTGTATAGGAGCAGGAACGATGGGATAGCTTCTTGCATTTACTGCTGTTAGAGTATGGAATGTTGTAGCATTGACAGGTGATAAGGTCGTCAGCGTAGTGGACAATGGTGTGACTTGCGCCAGCGTGGTCAGATGCGCAGGAGACGAGGGTGTGGTGAGTTGCGTGAGCTGGGTTAAGTGACTAGGACTCGCGCTTGGAGTAGGACTCGATGTGACCGGCACGGGCGTGACGCTCGGTAGCCCTGTCTCTGGAATGACTGTCGTTTCTGGAAACGTTTGGAACTGGCTTTGGAAGGACGGTAGCTTATTTGGAATGGGTTGCAGTGTCACCGACTGGTATTCTAGTGGACCTGAGAATCCTGCTCGTAGTATCGCATCCTTGGCATTGACGGTGATAGGCATGGACTCCCAGGGCCGATATTGCGGCTGGCTGGCTATGACCGAAACAGTGTCACCAGTGCGTTCGTAGTATTCCCAAGCAGGGTCCAACAACCGCGTGTCTGCGGTGAGGATCCTTTGCTCGTTCTCCGCCATTTCGCCGAAGGTCGAAAAAGGCGGCAGATGCGCGCTGTCCGCGCCTGCCTCACTCCTCAGGGCCTCGCTCATGACGTGTTACTGCGTAACTTCATCGCGTCCTCTTTCTATTCTTTACAAAAATAAATCTACTAAGTCTATAACTGAACACGGAACTGCACTGGAACTTCTTTATTTGTACTTTTTGATCTGTTATGTCCGCGATATAACTAAATAGCACTTAAGTTACGATTATACGGCACACCGGTTGACACTAACACTAATCACAATGTTTCTCACTAAATAAATAAAGTCCTTAAAGAGTTAACTTAGGTCTTAGGTCTAGATGCTTATAAAATCTTTGGCTGATTTAGAAAACGCTCGAGGAATTATTTCGATTACAATTTTTAACTAACGATAAAATATTTTGTGCACTCGTTTAACGATTTATTTTGGAACGTTTAAATACTGGTCGTTGATAATTTCTCTTAAAAAATTCTTCAAGGCTTTTTTATTGTAAATACCGATCACTTCAGACTTAAATTAATTTGTACTGTTTGGGAGTTAGCGTATACTATTCGCGTAATTTTAAAAGGTTAAAAAATAGTGCTTATATTAAATTTTTGAAACGAAAGATATGACTGGAGGCTTTGGTTTGTCGATTTCGTGGTTTTTCCTTGTTTATTTGGTTTAGCTGTCGGTTTCGGCTCTTGAGGCTACGCCGACGGCAAGCCGATGTTATCCGCGCGGCCTGCACCAATCTGCAACAACAACAATTTATATTAATATTACAAGAACACGTCCGTCACTCTCACAAGAAAAACAAGGAATGTAATATAAATCAAGGGACGCTAGTTGTATGCTCAGATCTATTTCTTTGAACATTTTTTCCAAGATAAGTCTATAGTCTATGCCTAACATGCTGCTCCCTCAATACATTATCCCTTCATCAAGTTTTGATTGCAATCACGAAATATATATTCAGAAAGGTTTCGAAGGCACGACCTTGATAATACTTTATACTGGATAATTAAAATTATCCAGTATAATTTAATTTTAACTTTATTTTATTTACTATACACCCTTACCCACGATTTTCATTACTCACACTGCTAACTTTAATATTATTATTATTTTCTACTTAGTATTATTATTATCTTTTTATTTTTCTTTGCTACTGAGGCGCAAACTAGCTGCTGTGGTCTCTGGCAGAATGACCAGCGCTGTGGAACATACTGCTCCTCAGCATAATGCTGAGCTAGGGTCAATTACAACCACAGCACACACGCATTGCACACTTGAAGCGAACCGAATGGCAATAGGGAATTTATTGTTTTTGATATGTCTTATTTTATTTTTTCTTTGAGTATTGTTATTTTGTGTGTTTATGTGTGTGTGTTTTCGTATGTAATAAATGTTATGTCTTTGTCTTTAAAATGACAAAACCTTAAAATAATAATCTCTACGAAATGATTAACACGCATGTTTTACATTCGAATGATCACGGCGTGGTAGCATTTAAATGACGTCATACCTCCCCTTACCCCTCACCCCTTGTACCCACCTCAACCCCATGCTGTATCTATACTTGTTTAAGTTCATAGTGCTTTCGCGTTTTTCGAGTATTCTTTGAAACACGTATAGCGTTTGTTTATATTGCCATATCTCGAGGAGTTTGTGAATAGCTACTAATAAAAATCTTGTCTACGCCTAACTTCTATAGACCGAACTCTGTGGCAAATGATTCAGCGAAATGGTGCCATAATTTTGTAATATGGTGGATATGAGTGAAAGAGGTTGGTGTGGAAAAATGGTAAAACCTTAGACAGTGGTTTGGAAGCACCAAGTCATTGTTTAGAAGCGCGGCATTTTAAACTAGCCATGATGATCGCCAACCTTCGCAAGGAGATGGCACTATAAGAAGAAGAATCAGTCAATATCATATGAAAGCTGTGTAAATCTGGATCGTAGAGTTTATGCTCATCCATCAATACCGTATCATACCTACCAGTTGCGAATTTTCACCCGAGTTAATTTGGTCATAGAGATCATAGCTTTAGGTAAACACAAATTACTACACTAATAAGTTTGAAGTATTTATCGATTGTACTTTGGGCATTTATAAAATATATTGTACTTATTATTACCTACGGCCTTTGACTCTCATGAATATATATATAAAACTATATAACATCTGTTTATATCTATTAAGGTGAAATTATGCAATTTATAGCTATATAACTCGACTTTTCGCTTGTATATTAAAAGTATCTACTTGGCGGCAATAGACCGTACACATTCAAATAGGCTGGGCTGATTTCTGTATCTGTTTCATGATCATTTGTCTTATATGCAAGTAGGTGATATGTACCTGACACACGTCGTCAACTTTTGGGATCTAAGGCAAGCTGGTTTCCTCACGATGTTATCCTTCACCGTTCGAGCGAATGTTAAATGCGCATATAGACAGAAAGTCCATTCGTGCACAGCCGGGGATCGAACCTATGACTTCAGAGATAAGAGTCGCACACTGAAGCCTCTAGGTCAATACTACTTTATTTAAATTCTATTATCTGTTAAAGTTTTAATTAAAAGTGTTTAAAAAAACTATATGTTTTCGTCAATTCTAATCCCAGTTTCAATAGCTCACATGCAAGCGTAAACAAAGTATTAATAGGCATGAATGTTCTATTTCGGCTCCACTATTTTAGGTATAACTATTTTTGTATGCTTCAATTTAAAATTGACCCATTATTACGTTTTGTAGTGCAATATAGCACGTTTTGACAAAAATAAAGACGCTTTAGAGTAATTATAGTTTAAATTATTTAATCATACAATTGTTTATACTTTATAATTAGTCATCAAAATAATTAGTATTTGTTTTTGAATAAAGAGTAGTATTTATGTAAGTAGGCCTCCTTCAACGGCCTCTCTTCGGAATCAAACCAGAATAACTAACACGTACTTTGCGTTTTCAACTACGCCACAAGCAACCAAAGAACATTTGTCATTACTCGTATTTTGTCTATCGTGAACTCATTTGATATATACAAAGTATCTGTAAATTCACGGGGCATCCATAGTTCTGTATAATATCACCCCCTAGTCTTTAAATCCCTTTAATTTGGCGAGATCTTTATCTCGGTCTTCTAAGCCCAACATCAAAAGGAATCTTTTGTTTAGCTCACAAAGGGGACTTAATTGTAACATGTCTATTTCGACTTTCACCTTCCTTAGAGTTATTAATACCTAAGATCAAAGATGTCATGTATGCAGAAAGTGAAACTAACCAAACTACTGAATCTTAAGTAGGGTCACTAAAGAATCTAAAACTACAATCTTCTCAATAAAGGTAAAAGCGTAAAACTCAGTGCCATTCTAACCTATGAATTTTGTATTGAAAGACACGTAGAATGATTCTATCATTGCGTCATCAAGACAAACGTGCGATCAAAACGTCCCGACTAGCAATCAAGGCGAAACTCTTTGTAGATGTGCACAAAGAACGCCCGACGAAAAAAAAAGATTAAAAAGCTCAGAACGGAACGCAAGTCGAAATGTCGTGTGCGTGTGTTGTTATTACAAAATGTGCGGTTGTGTGCGCAAGGATTCGTCTGTGCCTCAAATGTGTGGGTGAGGTGTGAATGTGTGGGAAACGCGATAGTATCTGGGTCTCCGTTGTCAAGGGCAACCGTACAAACGCTGCAGCATGCATCGCGCTTTCAGCTCTGCGCTGCAATTATACGGCGTATTTTTAGAATCGGATGTTGTCGCTTTTTTGTGCATCGCGTCGTGCAGCGAACGCATGTTTAGATGACGTTCGGAAATCCTTGAATCTTAGAACCGTAGACGGGAATGCACGCAATGCGAACTCGCGTTAGTTTTGAACTAACATTCTACGGACTTCTATGGCTGAACACATTTAAGCTCTAATTCAGGTAGTTATAGTTGTTGTTGCGATTCTCAATCCTCGTGTCGTGAATTCGATCACTCACTGTGCATTAAAGTGCGCAATTAGCAGTTGCTTGAAATGTAATTAATATTGATAGAAGACCAGTTTATACCTTAATATCTACGTTCTATGGACACAACTGGCTCACCTTCTTGACTATAACGATTGACATTTGTAAGTTTTTCATAGCCACAGCACATCATATTTTTATTACAGCACTTTAATGTTACAATTGTCGTTACACAGCTAAATTATCAAAATTTTTTATAGTTCAAACCAGCTGTGTTATAAAGTTATAAGTAACATCCGGCACACATAATACCTGGACCGGAAATCGATATCTCCGTTGATCATTGCTGATAATGACGTGATAAGTGAATCGATCATATTTACGGCCTCATTTTAAATGAATTAACTGTATTGGGCCTCTCAGTTGTAACTGTTGAATTCTTTATGCATGTATAAAAGTAAAAATAGTTATTTAGTGTTTAAATTGTGTTTGTTTTTGTGATCAATTTTGAACTAACAAAGAACTATGAACTCGACCAATTTGCGCCAGAAATATTGTTTTTTTACTTTAGTATTTTCAATAGGAAGCAAAAGCCACAAAACAGGACTGGCTGAAGGTACTTGATCGAGTAGGTCAAGGCCCGATATAGCGTTTTGATGCAGATGATAAACGATTAATTATTTATTTAGTTTTGAAAATCCTCAACCTTCCCTCCTCGAGACAAACCTCCACGAGAATGTAAGTGCGTGCTCCTATTTCACCATGCCTCCTGCTGATAGAGGACAAATATTTGTTTTTAATTTTTTTTATTATTATTTATTACTTAAGTTGTCATGTGGAACATGGTGTAATGGTTGCAGCTCCTTACAAACGTTGTGTAAAAAAAAACTTGGCAATTAAAAAGAGTGGCGGAGAGTTTATTGCCAGTTCTTCTGTTACGTTCTACGCCCTTGATTTGAGAACTGGCAGTAAATGTAAAATTAGAAGTATTTAATGTATATTTCTTTTTTGACGTTCATAAGTGTACATTGTGTTACCTACATGAATAAATGATTTTTGACTTTTGACTTCTATTACAAAAATGTAAATCATTAAAGTTGTTGTATTGCATTTGGATAATACTAGACT